GCAGACCCCCAGGTTGGCTGCCGCCCGCACAAGGTGATGTGTCCTTGTAGAAAGCATTCCTACTGGCTGCAGCACATATCGGAGGCAGGCAGGGCAGGACAGTGCGGTGCTCTGTGACAGCACCAGAGACTCCTCTGCTGGGGAGTGTGGGCCCTGAGCAAGCCAGTGGGGCCCGGCAGCTAGCAGCTTCCTGTGTGGGAGGGGCAGCAGCCTTGAAGACAAAGCCCAACTCTGCTCCAGTGGAACGGGGGACTGTGACCTGCTGTGTTCCTCCATTTGCCTTTTGTAATGATGTTTGAGTCTGCAGACAGAGGACTGAATCAGGGCAAATCAGAAGCCTCTGAGGACAGCAGAGCGGCTTGAGCCACAGCCTGCCCTTCACTCCAGAAGGCCCCTCCCTGGGGACACCTTGGCAAAGCTGGTGCGGGCCAGCTAGCCACCTGCATTCCAGCCCATCTCCAGCTGTTTGCTTCAGAGACAGCCAGAAGCACAAGCATTTGCCATCTCTCTTGAAGGACCCAGGAATCAATAGCATTGTGAAAGTTGATTTAAAAACAAAACAAACAAACAGGCAGTGGCTCACGCCTGTAATCCCAGCACTTTGGGAGGCCAAGGCGAGCAGATCACCTGAGGTCAGGAGTTCGAGACCAGCCTGACCAACATGGAGAAACCCTGTCTCTAAAAAAAAAAAAATTAAACAAACAAACAAACACCAAACACAAATAGAGTCTGTGACCAGACTCTATCAGCCACTCTCCCTTCTCCGAGGACCTCCTGCTTCAAGAGTTGAGCCTCTACTCAGCCTATCTGAGCCCGTCTCTAACCTGTGGGGTCAAACCAATCTTCCAACAGCCCACACAGGGTCTGAGCCTGTTCTCTTGGGTTTCCAAGCCTATCTCTTAGGAGTTGCACGAGTGGTGACTTCCTCCATTATCACTCTCGTGGGGTGAGGATATGGCAGCTACAACAAAGAGATCAGATGACTTGAGATCAGGTTGTATTCCACAAAATGTTAAGCTATTTTTCCACTTCCTCATGAGGGCTCTTGACATCTCAGTTTAACCTGTGGGGACTCCTAGTAACAATGTGGCTAGCGAGGAAATGATGCTTGGGGCTACCTCCTGTACCCTTGAACCTTACAATACACCTCCATTACTGAAGGTCATCTGAGTTTATTTCTTTTATCTTTTCTTTGTTTTTTCAGAAGGAGTCTCGCTCTGTCTGCAGGATGGAGCGTAATGATGTGATCTTGGCTCACTGTAACGTCCACCTCTCAGGTTCAAGCGATTCTCCTGTCTCAGCCTCCCAAGTAGCTGGGACTACAGGCACATGCCATCACACCTGGCTAATTTTTGTATTTTTAGTAGAGATGAATTTTCACCATATTGGCCAGCCTGGTCTGGAACTCCTGACCTCAAGTGATCCACCTGCCTCGGCCTTCCAAAGTGCTGGGATTACAGGGATAAGCCACCATACCCAGCCAAAAAGTAAACGTATGTTTTAAAACAGAAGTGCTTTAAAGAGAATTGCAACAGGATGACATGCTGAGGAGCGTCTGTGTGACTACTTTAGATTACAGAGTAAGGGGTGGCCTGAGGAGGGAACACTGCAGCTGAGATATGAACAAGGAACCTGACACATGACCATCAAGGGACCCAGCCATGCAGGCAGAGGCAAGAGCTAAGCAAATATCCTTCATTCCAACTGTTTTTTAATCTCTTGAGTCCATTTATAGAGCAATATTCACCTATGTGGTCATCAATTTAATTATAACGTGAGTCCTCATTTGACCAGGCCTGAGCTTGGCTCTACAGTGAGGAAAATGAGGAGGAGGGCACTGGGCCCTACTTTCAGGGAGCTCCTAAGCTCGGCAAGATAAAAAAAGACTCACGCTCTGGCATAGACCACGGCACCATGCAAGCCCAAGAAATGCCTGAGCCATCACCCAGACATGAGGCTGCAGGGATTCCACGTAGAAATTATCAGGAGCTTCCTGTAGGTCAGAAAACATCTACGTTTCTCCATTCCTGAGCAGTCCCTTGTTTGCAAACAAAAAATGACTTGCCAGCTGTGGAAGAAGCTATCAGCATTCTACTCTCATTTCTTGAACTTTATTCCTCTAACTGTGCTCCAGCTGACTCCCAACTGTCCATATTGTATCTCTACTCCCAAGGACATTTTTCTAAAACTGGAAGTCTGCTTTGCCCAGGTGTAGCAGGCGAGAAGAACCTAAGGATTATCACCCCTGGGAGCAACTCCCAACCAGGGACTCTCAGGAGACATCCTCAGGTGGGATAACCCGGAGCTGCGTCTTCTGTGTGTGTTCCCCGAGTTCTCCAGCAGGGCTAAGCTCCAATCAGCAGCTGCAGTAGCTGGTTAATATCACATTTGCACTGGTTACCGCCCTTTTTCCCTCCTCACTCCCTGAATGTAGTTTCTTGAGATCACTACCTGTCTTAGTCCCTTGGCACTGCTATAATAAAATACTGTAAGCCGAGCTTATAAACAACAGAACTCTTTCTCACAGCTCTGAAGGTTGGGACGTCCACGATCAGGGCCCCAGAAAATTTGGTGTCCTTGAGAGACAATTTCCTGGCTGACAGCCAGCCATCTTTTCATTGTAACCTCATGTGGCAGAGACGGCGAGGGGCCTCTTCTGGGTGTCTTATTTGTTGTTTCTGAGACAGAGCCTCCCTCTGTTACCCAGGCTGGAGCACTGTGGTGCGATCCTAGCTCACTGTAACCTCAAACTCCTGGGCTGAAATGATCCTCCCCTCTTAGCCTCCCGGGTAGCCAGGACTACAGGCATATGCCACCATACCTGGCTAATTTTTTAATTTTTTGTAGAGATAAGGTCTCACTTTGCTGCCCAGGCTGGTCTTGAACTCCTGGCTTCAAGTGATCCTCTATCCTTGGCCCCCTCAAAGTGCTGGGGTTAAAGACGTGAACTGCCAGGCTTAGCCCCTGGGTCTTTTTTATAAGGGCACTAATCTCATTCAGATGGACTGGCTCGGCCGATGTGGCTTCCATCAGCATCATGGCGTTTGAAAAGTGTTTACTCAAACCCAATCTGCTTGGCCAAGCCTATTTCCAGAAAAGTATAGGAGCCAAGGATTCAAAGCAGAATTTAAGGGATGAGATCAGTGAACAAGTAGGGTCAACATTAGACGAGTAAGGACCCTCATTGACAAGAAGTGTTGGTTGCAGTGGTTTTTTTCATATGAATTTGATGAGATCTAAGCTCTCTCATAAAGAAGATGTAGCAGGAAACATTTGTGAAAATACAGCCACGTTTTAAAACAAGTTAGTAGCAGAGGACTGCTAACCTAAAAGGCCGAAAGATGGGTCTAGTATTATTCACAGTGGGGGTGGCTTCTTAAGTTACTGCCATTGCCGCCGTGGCCACTTCTGTACTGCTGACTTCCATCCACCACACCTCCATGCCTTTCTCCTGGTTACTGGCTCTATCCGAAGCTGATCAATCATATCTACCCATTGCCATGGCCACCAAGGCTGATCTAGGGATAGGCACGTGAACCTTATCAAGCCAATCAGAATCTTTCCCCAGAATTTTTCTTACTGGTTCTGGCAGGACAAACACTTTCTCTTCAGACTGCTAGGCCATAAAAGTGCATGACCAGAAGCTGCTATGGCCATATCGCGTTGCTCTCTACAGAGAAAGTCCGCCTGATCGTGACTAATACCATGAGGATGTCGTTTTATTAAAATATAAATTTTGTGTCTTGGGTTAACTGTGGGGTGAGAAACTTCCTCACTTGCAATCACAGCTGTCTGCATACAATCTGGTGTTGTGGTCTAGCTGTTGACAAGGGGCAGAGGTGCATAAATTTTTCTGTACCTCATGAAATATTATACTCCTCATTTTCCACAAAAAAGAAATCTAGGATTTCAAAAAATGTATTCAAATTATATGTGTGTGTGTGTGTGTGTGTGTATTTTTTTCAACCAAATTCTGATAACTGTCTCTGTGTTGTGGGTCCCCAAGATCACCCTCAGGTTTGACGGTTCACGTGGAGGACTCACATAACTCAGTATATGATTTACTACAACAGGAAGATGTAACGTAAAACCAGCAAGGGAAAAGGCACATGGGCTAAAGCCCAGAGGAAATCAGATGCAAGCTTCAAAGAGTCCTCTTCCAGCAGGACACGTTCAGTGACAAACTGTGACAACACGTGTGAAACGTCTACCAGGGAGGTTCATTCGAGACTCAGTTCCAAGGTTTTACCAGCGGCTGGTCACATCTGCTGCTCCGCACAAACCAAAATTCTAGACTCCTAGAAAGTCGCTCTTCAGAATACATCATATGGTTTGCACAAATAGTTTAGGGTTAGGGAGCCACTCTTGTAAATTAGAGAAAGTTATATGTGTGTAGGGAATTATTTTCCATTCAAGTTCCTTGATTCCAGTCAAGGGCCAACCTGTAATCAGGCCTCTCTAAAGACACTAATCTTGGGCTAAGCATATTAGTAGGTCTTTTCCGCACAATTTCCTATTTAAGATCTAGGATATTTTTTAATTTTTAAAATGGCACAAATAAAGTAGTATTCTATATGTATCTTCTCGTTGTACTCCTTTTCCTGCATTCATCTCTTTTCACCCTCCCCCAAGTTGTAAAAATGTAAAAGTTATTCGGAAGTAGGGTCGGAACAGGGATCCCTGCTTGAGGCTGAATTGTGTATTACAGAGGATATATTGAAGGGTGCACTGGGAACTGAGAGGCAGTACGTTGACAACAGATTCACCCTACCTAAATCGGGATAATCATATACATTTTCTTAATATGCTAATCTGGTGTATTACAGGAATAAATGTTCTGTTGTTGAACCATCTTTGCATTCCTGAGTTAAAACCAATTAGGTCATCAACATTTTGCAGTTTAAACACTGCTAAACTCCATTTTCTAATATTTGAATTTTAAATCCACGTTATTATAATGAGATTGCTCTCTTTCTTTTTTTGTAATAACAATGTGTTTAGAACTATCTCTTTATCAGACAAAGTCATAAACCAAAAGTTTCCAACTTCCTGTACATGTTGAGAACTTTAAATAAAGATCCTTGGATATAAAATATGGCCCACATAGCTCAAAATTAACTCTGTGACATAATATTATTCTAAAGTCATACTTATTTTGAAAGCCTAAAGATTTTTTAATGGCTATAAAAATATCACCAAGCTAGACATTTAATTGTTGAGATATACAAATAAAATTACCACAGCAGTCCACACATTCTATGATTTCTAAACACTGAAACATCATTGGTTTCGGGGAAGATGCTGTTGTCCTTCACAGTTCGTTAAAAGTTCAGATGCTTTTTGTGAAAGCCCAACTTTTCTTCTACCTGCTAAACTAACTTTTCAGAAGCCTTGCCGGATGTTTTCTTGGTTTGCCTCTCCATGCTGCTGCTTGATTTGATAGATTTCATTTTCTAGCTGAACAATCATCCATTCAATCTCATAATCTTACTGACCAGGGATACCCAATTTGACTCCATTTCTCTCAATTTACATCCAGCTGTGAGTTGCATGTTCTTTCTCTGCCAGTTTAAATCTTGAGTATGTTTTCGTAACTTCCGAAGTTTGTTCTGTACGTGTTCAATTACATGAACTAGATTTTCATTGCATACTTTTCAGGCAGTACTTCCATGCTGCGACATTAGTTCCAGATTCTCAATTCCAACTGCTTGATGCTCTAGCTGGGCCATAAAATTGTTTACACATTCTTGCCATGTAGTAATGCCATTTTTTTTTTAACCAGAGGAAGGGGCTGTAAGCTCATATCATTTCATACTGAGCAATTCAACTGATTGTCAAGCAGCCAGTCTTTCAAATTCGTTTCTCATTATGTCAGTTACAAAGGCAGAATAATTCCAGCTGTCAGGTAGCTCAGGTAGTTCTTAGCAGGTCGGTATCTTCAAGTTTCCTCTGCCAGTGCTGCAGCCACCTCCCACACACCAGTGGCTTCATAACCTTCATCAAAATCAGGCAGCACATCCACCACAAGCTCTCCAGCCACCAAACTCATGTCCGCAATTCTGGGGACCTCAGGTTTGCCTGTGTTTTCTGCATCTGTGTAAACTCAATTCTCTGGCCTCTGACTTTCTTATACTGTCTTGATATTCACAAAGTAGGTTAGATAAACTTCTCTGTTTTTTAATTTTCCAAAACATTTGAGAAAGGGATTATTGTTCCTTTGGGGTCTGAAAAAATTTGCCTACAAAACAATCTGGAACTTCTGTCTTGTGGAAAGGAAGACTATGTTTCTTCTCAATAGTTTCATTATGAAAAATTTCAGAGATATATAAAAGTAGAGAACATAGCTCAACAAATCCCATCTATCATTTAGAGGCAACAATTAACAAGATTTTTGCCAATTTCACTCAATATCCATTTTAAAATTTATTTTCTGGCTAGACATGGTGGCCCATGCCTGTAATCCCAGCATTTTGGGCTGGCCAGGGCAGGAAGATGGCTTGAACTCAGGAGTTTGAGGTCAGCCTGGGCAACATGGCAAGACCCCCATATCCACAAAAAATTTAAAACTTAGTGGGGCATGCTGGCTTGTGCTTGTGGTCCAAGCTACTTGGGAGGTTGAGGTGGGAGGATCACTTGAGCCCAGAAGGTCAAGCCTGTAGTGAGCCATGTTTGTGCCACTGCACTTCAGCCTAACAGACAGAGGAAGACCCAGTCTCCAAAAAAAAATAAAAAAAGAAAGAAAGAAAGAAAAAAGAAAATTTATTTTCTTCATTTTTGTTTTACAAAGTATTTTAAAGCAAATCCCAGACGTCATGTGTTTTCATTCCTACATACATCAGTGTGCATCCTCTAAAAAACTAAGGACGAGAAGACAAAGACATTTTTTCTTTTTTAGAGACAGGGTCTAAATCTGTCATCCAGGTTGGTGTGCAGCGGCACAATTACAGCTCACTGCAGGCTTCAGCTCCTGGCTTAAGCAATTCTCTCATTTCAGCCTCCTGAGAAGCTGAGACTATAGGTGTCTGCCACCATGCCCAGCTACTGTTTAAACTTTTTGCAGAGACAGGGCCTTGCTATGTTGCCAGGGCTGTTCTCTAACTCCTCAAGGGACCCTCTGCCTTGGCCTCCCAAATTGCTGGGATTATTGGTGTAAGCCACCACACCACATATTCTTACATAATCAAAATTTCATTACCACATCTAACAAAATTAAATATATTTCCTTGGTATTATGCAACATCTAGGCCATAATCAAATTTCCCATTTGTCTCAAAATGTCTTCCACAGTTGTCCAGAGATTTGGGATTACTAATTCAATGTCTTCAATGTTTATTGGTTTATTCAAGACTTCTATTTCGAGTCAATTTTGATCATTTCTATTTTCTAGAAAATTATTTTGTTTGTTTCTCACGAGGATTCCTGATTGTTTTCCAGAGTCCTATCCCCTGAGTTCCAATCGCCGGCGTAATCACACTCTAAAGGCTAAATACCCAGAATCGTTACCTGAAAATTCCTACTACCAATGGTTCTTCTTCATGGTAAATCATGGGCAAATTAAGCCTGAGTCTGTAAACTCTTCTACCACTCTAGGAAGAGAGGGAGGCGGTGCCAGTCCTTTCGGTGGACACGAGGCCTAGGCCTGCCTTGTCCCGGTATTTCTTCACCTTAACCACAGATCAAATCGCATTCTTTATCTTCAAATCATCTGAAGTATAATTTCAAATCACAGGACAGAATAAAACAATCTTTGAGACAGGCAGGACCTTAGAAAAGAGGTATGTCATCTCATTTATTTACAGATGAAGAAAGTAAACTTCAGAGAGGTCAAAGTGATTTGTCTCAGGTCACATAACCAGTGGTGGAAAGAACAGAGTTACTGGAGTGTCAAGATAAGAACGTATTCCAGGAGGTTTAAAAAGTTGTTTGAGTACATTCCAAATTAAGTATTTCATTCCTGAGCTCTAAAACCTATTTATATTGAAGCCTGCTGTTCCAAACACAGTAATTACAAAGCGGGGCAATGCTCTCCATCTTTTCCTTTCATGAATCCATTATGAAAGTTAGCTTTATGAGCTACTTTGTCTCCAGAAAGACATGTACATTTCATACTGTTCAAATTTGTAACTGTCAGCAAAATCAGATCCAGCACCACCTGTTTCTCAATCCAGCCTAGAGACTGCTCCTCTGATAGACACACTGGACTCTCAGGGGTAGAATGGGCAAGCTCTGACAAAGGACAGCACTTCTCTGATGGTGTGGAAGTACCAAAGGTTTGACTGCACTTTAAAAAGGTGGTAACAGGTGGCCAGGCACGGTGGCTCATGCCTGTAATCCCAGCACTTTGGGAGGCTGACATGGGCAGATCACAAGGTCAGGAGTTCAAGACCAGTGTGGCCAACATGGTGAAACCCCATCTCTACTAAAACTACAGAAAAATCAGCCAGCTGTGGCACTCACCTGTAGTCCCAGCTACTCTGGAGGCTGAGGCAGGAGAATTGCTTGAATCCGGGAGGCAGAGGTTATAGTAAGCCAAGATTGTGCCACTGCACTCCAGCCTAGGTGACAGAGCGAGATTCCATCTCCCCCCCACCCCAAAAAAGTGACATAGGTGCAGAAAACAAGTTGGAAATGATCTAAGTCAAGCTTGCTTTTTTGCGATATTTTAATAGCTCATTAGCTATCATTAGTGTTAGTATATTTTATGTGGCTGAAGACAAGTCTCCCAATGTGGCCCAGGGAAACCAAAAGATTGGACACCCAATCTAGGCGAGCCCAATTTCCAAATTTACTATAAAACTACAGTGTGCCACTTCGCATCCATTAGGTTGGCAATAAACAAACCCAGAAAATAACAAGTGTCGGTGAGGACGTGGGAAAATTGGAACCCTTGTGTATTGCTGATGCAGCTATGGAAAACAGTATGGTAATTCCTGGAAAAATTGTAAATGGAATTAACTTATGATCCAGTGATTGCATTTCTGGGCATATACCCAAAATAATTGAAAGCAGGTTTCAAAGAGTATTTGTACACCCATGTTCATAACAGCACTATTCACAACAGCCAAAAGGTAGAAGCAATCTATCCACTGACATATGAATGGACAGACAAAATATGATATATACATACAATGGAATATTATCCAGCCTTAAAAAAGGAAACTCTGACATGCTGCAACATGGATGAAATGGAAGCCATGCTAAGTTAAATCACCCAGTTACAAAAGTACGACGTTTTTTTTTTGACATGGAGTTTGGCTCTTGTCGCCCATGCTAGAATGCAGTGGTGCGATCTCGGCTCACTGCAATCTCCGCCTCCAGGGTTCCAGTGATTCTCTTGCCTCAGCCTCCTGAGTAGCTGGCATCACAGGTGCCTGCCACCATGCCCGGCTAATTTTCTGCAGTTTTAGCAGAGATGGGGTTTCATCACAATGGCTACATTGGTCTTGAACTCCTGACCTCAGGTGACGAACCCATCTCGACCTCCCAAAGTGCAGGGATTACAGGCGTGAGCCACCGTGCCTAGCCTAAAAGAACAAATATTGTATGAGTCTACTCATGTGAGTAGACATATTTACAGAGGCAGGAAGTCGAAGGGTGGCCTCCAGGAACTTGGAATTAGGGGAAAATGGGGAGTTACTGTTTAATGGATACAAAGTTTCAATTTTGCAAGATGAAAAATGTTCCGCGGGTGGATGGTGGTGAGGGTTGCACAACAATGTGAATATAGTTAATGCCAGTGAACTGTACACTTAAAAACAGTTAAAATAACTTGCATGTAATATACATTTTATAGTTAAAAAAAAAAAAACTTTAAAAAGTGTGGTACACAGATCATTGGAACAAAAATCCAGAAATAGACTCACACATATATGGTCACAAGACGAAGGTAATTCAACGGATGAGTCTTTTCAACAAATGGTAATGGAACGACTGTGTATCCCTAGAGGAAAATGTGACACCAACCAGACAACATAAGCAAAAATGAATGCTATTAGACAATAGACTTATACGTAAAAGACTATATAAAACATACATGAAAACACAGAAGACCTTCATGAACTTGAGGTAGGCAGAGATTTCCTAGCACAGAAAAAGCACAAACCATAAACGGTAAAACTGACCAACTTGCCGGACGCGGTGGCTCAAGCCTGTAATCCCAGCACTTTGGGAGGCCGAGGCGGGCAGATCACCTGAGGTCGGGAGTTCAAGACCAGCCTGACCAACACAGGGAAACCCCGTCTCTACTAAATATAAAATTAGCCAGGCGCGGTGGCGCACGCCTGTAATCCCAACTACTCGGGAGGCTGAGGCAGGAGAATCGCGTGAACCTGGGAGGAGGAGGTTGCAGTGAGCCAAGACTGCGCCATTGCGTTCTAGCCTGAGCA